ATGTTTTTTACGTAACTATTATTGATAATCTTATTTATTAGGTTGTCCCAAAAGTTTTGTCCGTTTTTTTCATCGCTCACTAAAACTCATACAACAACATTCCATGGACGGCCTAGGTGTCATTCTATTCATTTTTGTATCCTCTTTCTTACAGATATATGTGTTCCCTGATCTACCCCGTCTTTACGATGTTATCGCCACGGCATTTTGAGCACCTCAGCAGTAGCGTCAAAACTTTCCTGAATTTTAAAAATTTTTATCCTGATGTTTCCAAAGAGCACTGATAACCATTATGTAGAGCAAACTTTTGGCTACATTGTATCCTCTTTAGATTACATGGGCCACGTTTACTAACCCCTTTATAATTATTCATTTGATAAAAACCGCGGCTTTTTGATTACGCCTACCACGCAAAAGTACCGGAAATTCCAAAAAGCAGATTTTTAAAGCAAATCAAACTTGGTTATGCTTCATAAATAATGTTTAATAACAAACAAGTTTCAATTCGCGAAAATTTTGAAAGCTTCCATGTTTTTGCTGCAGTTGCGCATTTCATGACTTTGCCAAAAATCGAGACTTTCGAAGAAATAATTTTTTAGAGCTAAAAACAGCAGATTAGGAGAACCTAAAAATACTGCCATATAGTCCGAGAATTACTCTATTTTAACCATACTTAAACTTCTCCGGAGCCCTAAAACGGAATTATAAAAAATTAGCCGAACTTTGAGCAGATAAAAATGACGAGTGAAGATTTTTAGCAATTATCACAAAAAGTATACTAAGGGCCGCATAAAGGATTTTGGTTCGAAAATGTATCCACAAGAAAGAAAAGGAAAAGCTGCATCGAATGCATGTTGCAGCTCATTCAAGCCTTCATTGTACGTGGTTTCATAGTGGTTTGAAAAAACCGACAAAATTTTCGGAACGACCTAATAGATTGATTTCGTCTAGTATATTATGGATATATTCAACTTTGATATTGTTATAACTAATATTTTCCTTTTCTTTTTTGTTACCATTGAACATAAATTTGCAAAGTATACTAAGGGCTGCATGCACTAACCTCCCCGCTGGGAAGGGGTCGCAGCTTAAAAGAAAGTTTTATATTTCGAAACTCAAGATACCTGGATTTCACGTTGTGTACCTATCCGTAAGTATTCCTACTACACTTCACTTTGAACATGTTGAAGAAGCGAGAAGCTGTACGAACCGCATTTTCCAGCTTTTGTATGATCCCTGATGATCCCCGGCGCTTTTCTTTAAAGTCATTTTTCTTTCTCCAAACTTTCGAAAATTTTCCAAAGCTGTACTGAACATCTAACACAACAGTGCCAAGCATGTTGCTGATGAGAACAAATGAGTTTTTGAAAAGTCGAATTTTTCGGTAAAGCTCAAATTTCGACCTGTGGATCATCGGAAATCTCACGACTTCAAAACATCATTTGTTCTTATCACGAACATGCTTAGCACTGCCGAGTTGGATAATCTGCACCACTTTGGAGGTTTTTCGTTAACTTCGGAGAAAAAAAAATGACTTCGAAGAAAAGCGCCGGGGATCATCAGGGATCATACAAAAGCTGGAAAATGCGGTTCGTACAGCTTCCGCTCCTCTTCAGCATGTTCATAGTGAAGGGTAGTAGGAACACTTACGGATAAGTACACAAGGTGAAATCCAGGTATCTGGAGTTTCGAAACATAAAGCATTCTTTTGAGCTGCGATCCCCTCCCCGCGGGGATGTTAGTGCATGCGGCCCTAAGAGTAGTTATTTTTATATTTTGTTCAATTTTCATTAGAAATTTAGGATCAAAACATCTGCAATTACTTGTTTTATAAAACTTTTTTTCAATGAATGGATATATTGAAATAAATCCTGTAGTGAGCTCTTACTATTAATAGTTTTTAAGAATTAATCTAGTGTTTCTTTATTTTTTTTCATCTCTGTATTGGCCACGTATCCTGTCTTTTGTTATTTTTAAATTATAGTAAGGATGTGTTTCTTTTTGTAAAAGAGGGTTAACAATATTGAATATATTTCCATATCCTTTAATATTGTCATTCAATCCAAAAGGATATGCTGTGTTGAGTAATTTGATCCAGAATAGTTCTTTACTTACCAAGACATTCTTGTCTTTATTCTTTTCCAAACTATCTAGTATTTGAACCGTCATACTTCTATTTGTGCATGTTTTGAAGAGATCATATAGAAAGTTACTTATATCATTCTTTTTAGAATGATAAAAGCGTTCTCTTATCCTGCTTTTCAGATTTCTAGTCGTTAAACCTACATATTGTTTATTGCATTACATGTGATGAAATAGATGACATTGTTATTTTTGCAATTGCTGTTATTTGTGCAAAATGTGTATATTTTTAATTTTGTTGAATTACCTACGATATATATGGATTGTGATTCATTTGTCTACAAATGACGCATTTTGAACGACATGCAGTTTTGATGTCATCGTTACCAAAATTGTTTAATGTGTACATTTTGTTAACCTTTTACGAAATTGTGATTGTTTATAATAATCATCAGCATTGCAAGACGTAGTTTTTCGAGACCACTTGAATAACTTCCTAGTCGGCAGGTCTTTACCTTAGGAAGTGCGGGAGATAATGATTTGGCATGGCTGCTGCCAGGGGGTTCATGACCGACCCTGTTCGGGTTTAGTGAGTTTTTGAAACTTTGGTTTACAAATGAATAAACGGGACCCATGGAGTCGCAGGGGGGAGGGGGTGTATCCCCCCATGTCCCCACATCCCCACTGCTCAGATAATCGCCGGGGGCAAGCGGCCATACGAATTTTGAGCAAGCGGGCACCGGAAAAATAGTTCGCTGATTTTTCGTGGTCCGCTTGCAGAAATTTGGAATAATTTTGGCCAATTTTTAGACGAACGCTCGAAGATCTATCGCGGTTTTTCTATACATAAGTTGCGGCACAGTGGCCGCATTCTCGCGGATTTCCCGCGAGAACATGCAAAATTATTGGGAGCCGCACGGTCCTTTTTGAAGGACCGCACAGCCCTCAGGTACTTTCCGCTGAAAGAAAGTACCCCAAACTTGGGTAATAAAACCATCGATGGCACCTCTGCCACATAGAGTCCCATCTTTTCTCGGCGTACGCCCAAAACTGCGTAAAAAGAGTCTGAGCGCCTGCTGAAAGTTTGGCCAGCGCTCGCTGAAAGAGATTGTTTGACGAGCGCTTGCAGAAAATTTTGTATTGATGCCCGCTTGCAGAAAACGCAAATACCGCCCGCTGAAGATTTGGCCACGCCCCGAAATCCTGCTGACCGCCTGCAGAAAAGCGCAAGTTTGCGGACCGCCTGCCCCCGGCGATTATCTGAGTGGTTTCACCCATCATGTCCTCCTATTTTTATAGAACAAGAGATATGGCCCTCTCATCAAAGAATTTGTAAGGTATCTGCAATAAAACAAAATCTTACAATATAAAAAAATAAGCTTACCTGTTTTGATTTCGATTATTTGTAAATAAGTTGTCAATAAATAAATATATTTGATAAATAAATTTTGATTATGATATTCAGACAAAATAACTTTAATTTAGATATAGCATTTTTTGTATGAATATAATTATAAAATTATTCAATAATATTGATATCATTAGTTTATGTTTAATGTTATTAATATTGTAAATTAATGGTTGAGTTAATTTGTAACAGCTAATGATGTCAGAGGGCGCGGATCACCGACCTACCGATCTTCAGTGGCGGAAAGAAAAGCCCGCGCTGACCCCTTCGGCAGGGTATAAATACCGGGAGTCAGGGGGAGGCCTCAGACTGCGCTGAGGAAGCGCTAGCGGGAGCTAAAGCCATCGAAGAGAGGCGGATCTCCCCCTTAGATAGAGAGTATACAGTAAACCTGCCGAAGTGGTCAAAGAGGGTAAAGCCCTCGTTTCGTTGTTACGCCTTGTTCAAGATACACGTTCTTGTTTGTTGTTGTTAGTTGCCTTTTCCTAAGATAAACTATTAGTCGTTCAATCCGTGTAGTCTATCAATCCGGTTAAAACCGTTATACCACTAGACACCCCCGGTTACAATGATATATTTTATAATTGAAAAGGTAAATATAATAAAAAAAACTTTTGAACTGTAATTTTGCAGCGCCGACATCCGCACTTACCATTTTGTCCCAAAAGAGCCTCACTTCTTCCGTCAAGGTGATTTATTTGTTTTATGGTCACTGGTACTATAGTTTGTGATTTTCAAAAAAAACGTGTCGTTGAGAGTATCGAAGGCAGCAGTATCATCAAAGAAGACCTAGTGATTGAGAAGACTGAATGCGTTGAAGACGAAGCTGAGAAAAGAAGCTCGATAATATTGTCTACATTTTGTTTTTTGCTGCATTTGTGTCGCAACCTTACCTATATTTGTATTTGCCGCTTTCTGCGCATTTCATTTCGCTTTCGTTGTAAAGCTTGCTCGACAAGATCGTGTGGTATTTGTTAATAAATTACAATGTAAGACTGGTTTTTACTAGAAGAAAAGTTACAAGCATGAGAAATGGGACCCAAAGAAACCAAGGGCTCAAGGTAAGTGAAAAGGGAAGCGTGAGAGAGGCACAGAGGACGCAAAAACCTGTTAATAAAGGCGTAAGCCGCGTGCTCTGAAAGCGATCGGGACATCATGGTGTCTCCCGCAGGTGTCCCGATTTTGTCTGGAATGTGTCCGTCGGTACACCTGATTTTGTCTTGCAGTTTTGTCCCGGAACAAAATCAGGTGTCCTGATTTTGTCCCGACTCCGATTTCGGGTGTCGCGCATTCCGTGACGATAGCTCGTTTTGTCCTGCGCGACTCAACCGCGAATGTCTGAGATATAGCCCCGACCCCGGTTGCACACTGCTGCGTGTGAACCCACCGCCCGATGGGTCTTTGCGCGAAACCCCTCAAGCCGATGCAAGTAGTCCGCTAGTACGGACCGAAGACAGGTGCCTGGAACTGCCTTGATTGTTCCTGGTATTCATAATAAACTCAGACTCAGGGCGCAGAGGACGGAACGAATTATCAAGCAGTTTATGTGATTAAACTGCCGTTGCCGGAAGACGAATCAAATTTCGAATGTGATTTTGACTTTAATACTACGGTGAAGTGTGAGCTCAAGTACATAGAGAAGCCACCCAGTGACGACGTAAGCCTTTTCCGAGTGATTTGAATGATAAAGCATCAGTTTTTTCCCTCTTGCAGAGCGACTTTTGTCGAGTTGTGCCTGTTTTTGGAGCTAAAAACTATGAACTAAGGTGCCGCAGAAGAAAGGATTTTTTAGATGAGAAAAACTGGATTCAGGTAATTGGCATTACTTTTATTATAAATGATTCATTTGATTTTGTTGTAGGTTACACTAGAGGATTTTAGAAACATGAACGATACTTCTGCACTACATAAAAAGTATGAATGCACAATGTTTCTAAATGAATAATGAAATTTGGCCTATTCGTAAGCTTCTGCACGAAAGTTGTTTCAGAATCGTCCTTTGTATAGAAAACAATCTCAAGAAGGTATACTGTCCGCCGATACGTAAGTGTTGTCCACGTCTGTCAGATCCATTTGCATCTCTAGTATGAGTCTTGAGATTCATCCCCAAGGCTTAGACCATGCCAGCCAACGATCGGTTCCGTGAAGCTTGAAATTCTTGGCACTACCATGTGTAATAATTTGAAAACGATGGCAGAAAACAGAGCTTGGCAGGGAGATGGCAAATGGGGACCTGAGGAACTACTCGCCTTTTTTAATTTCATAATTCAAAAGGGGGCATGAGTACCATCTCCATGAAACACACTAATTCAGTTCTGTTGACTACAGTCTTAGAGCAGTCACAAACAAGCTATCATCACACTTCCAATAATCTAGTCCGAATGCTTAAACCCTAATTACATGATGAATTATCGTGGTATTAGAGTATGAGTAACTGTGTATTTTTGTCTTTTTAAGGAACGCCTAGAGCGTATGTAATAAATAAATAAATAAATAATTCACAATTTCCCTTTGATTACAGTTATGACGGGAGAATGTGAAAATTTTCGGCAAATTCGGCTATGTTGGCGACTTGCAGTGTTGTAGCCCAATCCTGCAACGCGCAGAGATATAAGGGCGCAAACTCGCCCTTAATGACAGAATTCCCAAGTTCGGCTGTCAATTACGACTTTTATTAAAGACTTGTTCTTCCACGACCTTTTTCCTAAAATATCTTATCATATCTTCAGAGATCTGTCGAATAAAACAAAACTCAGCCCCATATCTGTAATATTCGCAGAGTTATTAACGCTCCAAAATGCATGCTCAGGCCATGAAATCTGCTCCTCCAAAGTCGCCCCTAAGTCCTCCAAAAATCACGTTAGACACATCCGTTGCACCTATATACACCGTATTTTTTGTAGCCTCCCATATGCTGTTTGAAGTAAGCATCGCTCCGGCTAGACTAATTGATAACTGATAAAACAATGATTTACTCTCTGCTGCTAGCAGATGACCAAACCCTGTGTAAATTTTTTCATCCAAATCTTCATGTTGAAGTGATCTACAAGCTTCTTACAGTTATGACAGTGCCATAAGTTATGGCAGTAGAATGCGAAAATTCTCATCGAATTCGGCAAAGTAGGCGAAAAAGGTGAAGTCGCCGACTTAGTCGACATTTCCGAGATTTTTACATTCTGAAGTCGTAACTGTTTGACTGCATGATGCAATTTTCTCAAATTTCCGCTCAAATAGACACTCAATGTGCTGACAACATTTCTTACATTGTTTTGCTGCTGGTGGCAAATTATAGAGATGAGAATCCCTAAAATACGCGACTCTCAAACGTGGGAGAAAATTCATGAGCACGTGCGTTTGTAACCTCATAATTTGATGAACAGTGCACATAGGGGCCTGTGCTAATCACGACCTGATGGCGTTCTTTACAGAGATTCTAATTTACAAAAATACGCAAGCAAGTTTTTTGGTAGAGAAGACGAGAAGTGCAAACAAACTTCAGCCTTGCGGGTTTGCCCAAATTTTTTTTCTATTTGAAATTTCACTGTAAAACTCTTTCGCGAAATGACCAGGATTTTCGTTGACAGTCGGTTTGAAAATTACTGTGAATCACAGGTGCGATAAGGTGAGAATGACTCTTCCAGGGTGAAGGGGGTCACAGTGTTCGCAGTCCCTCCAGGGTGAAGGGTGTTTCAGTTGATCGAGAAATCATAAAATGCCGACCGGGGGGGGGGGAGGAGGGGAGAAGGAGATGGTGTTTTCTTATTTTCCAAATAAAAGTTTATCATATTAAATTCTCTGCCATCATTGGTTGTCTTTTTACCAAAATGTGAAAACTGATAGAATTGGAACAACCCTATATGTTTTTAAAAATACCCTAGAAGATGTGTATGCGAGAACATCTGTTTCGGAAGAGTTAGACAATTTTTAAGCATTTACGAATTTTTTTAAAAGAATAAATTCGTAACTTCTGTAGATGAACAGCAACGTCAGCAATGAAAAGGTTTTTACAACTCTTGTCTTCCGCTTTCAGAGAATATATAGCTTGCCTGGAGTCTATTCAAAAAGTGTCTGGTGGAGAGCGTGGGTAGTAATTTCTGGATATTTACGAGTATATAGTGCTCAAGAGTGTATAGAGTGTATAGAGTGCTCAAGTAGACGTCTTTTTACGTCTACTTGAGCACTTTGGTAAAACTTTGGTAAAGCCTGTACTTGAGCACTCCCATTATAAAGGTCTCACCCACCCTTCACCCGGCACTTTTTCTAATCGATTCCTGGCAAAGTATATATTTTCTGAAGGCGGAGGACGAGGCGCCTCTAACGGTGTTCATCTCGGCGTATAAGATGTTCATCTACAGAAGTTATGAATTTTTTTAGGTTAAAAACTCGAAAATCTCCAAAAATCAATAGGACACCCTTCACCCAGGCACTTTTTTCAACGGACCCCAAACATATTATATGTTTTCTGAAGGCGAAGGATGAGACGGTTTTAACGGCGACTATAGCGGCGTACTATGTTCATCAGCAGAAGTTATTAATTTTTTTTATGTCAAAAAACCGAAAATCCTCAAAAATCACTAGGCAAACCGTTCACTGCAATTTCTTGAATGGATATTGATCGTTCTAAATATTTTCTGAAAGCGGAGGACGGAACGGTTCTAATGGTGACCATCAAGGCGTACAAGATGTTTAACTACAGAAGTTATGAATTTTTCTATGTTAAAAACTCGAAAATATCCAGATCATTATTCACACCCGTCACCAAGCCCTTTTTTCAACAAACTCCTCCTTTCCTATTTCATAAACAATTCACGTACAAATATCTTCTTTGCTTAACCTTACCTCACTGTTGATTATTTTTCTCGGCTTTTGGTGAAGGGAGGGTGAGAAAATTCTCACACTATCGCACCTGTGCTGTGATTGGAGTACTGGTCAATTCAAGATCATCAATATTTCAGCCAAAACCAGTGGTCAAGATCGAAAATCGAGAAGAACATATGGCGCCTTTTTCTTAGAAAATTTGAGCATAAAGGTTATCCGACTTTGATTATAAAAGACACGTCTGCTACCTAGCTTCTTTTTGTAGGGTTGACGGTAGCTAGATTTCGAATAAATGTTGATTCTAACAAATTTTGCTAGCCATTTTCAAATTCACTCCAAATGATACTTTGCACCAATTTTAACTGCTAAGGAACTCGCGAAGCTGCTGTATCGAATGATGTTTATCTTAGCTCTCTATCCACATTAAGTATTGGGTTGCGCCCTAACAAAAAACCGTTCGCAGAACATAATTAAACACCTCAGATAAGATTAGACTAGACTAGGTCTTCTCACCCATATATTGGGTATCAGTTACAATGGTAGTGGGCGGGGCTTACAAATCACAGCTAACTCGATAAAATCGATGTTCTGGAGGTTGCGAAACCTTTATAATCGATAAAATCGAAGATTTGGAGAATTTGGAGATTCCACAACCTAAAAAAATTCCGATTTTGCCAATTTTTGAGAGTCATACCCCCAATTTTGAACCCCAAGGCTTCACCTACCTTCTGAGGCTCCGCCCACTTCCTAAGATTCCGCCCACTCAACCACAAGCTCCACCCATTCTTCCCAGCTCACTTTTGGTGTTATACAGCCACAACTCCTTTAAACGAGCATCGCAAATTTTTTAACTCTCAAAATCAAAAAATGAACGAAAATTAGAGCGAAAATGAGGAGAAATAAGCGAAAAGTGATTTTCTAGCTTCATTCCCTTACTTATACCCAACATTGACCCTATGCACGGTTCAGATAGCTGCTGGAAACTGTTACATGCGTTTTGGTAATAAAATGGGAAGGGGGAAATGAAGGGTGGAAAAAGAGAAAATATCGCGTGGTCCCATCTAAAAGAAAAACTGTCTAGAAGGTTTCATAGATGGGCTCCCATAGAGGAAGCCCCTATATTTTTTCCGAATTGTATGTGTTGCTTCTCTCGTATACAAATTAAAACATGGCTATCCCAGCCCGTCTCCCTTGCTTTTCACGGAGATAGAAGTCAAAATGTGCACGTCCACTATATATAGCGCCTCCTACGCAGGAGCTATAGGCACGAACTACATCCAGTAAAATAGAGCTTCTGAAATTGACATAGATATTCACCTGTCATTATTCCAACCCTGCAACTCGCGGAGATAAAAGGGCGCAAACTCGCCCCTGGTGATAGAATTCCCAAGTTTGGCTGTTCTTCCACGACCTTTTTCCTAAAAATCATATTTTCAGAGATCTGTCGAATAAAACAGACCTTAGACCCATATCTGTAATATTCACAGAATTATTAATCCTCCAACATGCATGCTCAGGCTTGAAATCGGCTCCTGCAAAGTTGCCCTTTAATTTCTCCAAAAATCACGCTAGACATCTCCCTCGCAGTAGTTTGAAGTAAGCCGCTTGCTCCGGCCATACTAATTGGTAATTAATAAAGCAATTATTTTCCCTGCTGCTAGCAGATGACCAAACCCTGTGTAAATTTTTTCTTCCAAATCTTCACGTTGAAGTAGTCTACAAGCTTTTCTACAGTTATGACAATGCCATACGGTATGACAACAGACTGGAAAATGCTCGACAATTCGAAGTTGGCAAAAAACGTGAAGTCGCCCACGTCGCCGG